GGAGGAGGAGGAGGAGGAGGAGGAGGAGGAGGAGGAACAACCACCACCACCACCTGAACCTGGTGTCAGAAGTTTCACACAATGGCCTAGCTGCACCTCCTTTCAGGGTCACCCCTGACAGATGCCTGGCCTCAGGGACTTTCTTTAGTACTCCTTGACTTTAAAGTCAGAATCACATAGCTGAAGGTGACAAGTTCTGCTGCTTGCTAAAGCTGGAACATGGCCCCCTCATTCAATTACAAATTTACCAGCTTTCTGCTTTTGATGGTTACCTTCACTGCCTAATCTCGGCTCTTCTGGAACTTGCTCTGTAGACCAGGCTGGCCTCAAACTCGGAGATTACCAGCCTCTGCCTCTGGAGTGTTGGGATTAAAGGCTTCAAGCTTTTCCTTAATTCCTTTCCACAGATTGGAAATTTAGCTGAGTGGGATCTTGTCCTGAGTTCACCACTCCCTTTATTCCAATTCTTAATCTGTTTATCTCCTTGAACACAGGATTTAGCTCTACTCCATTTTCTGATACTCCTTTTTCTCCTCAAATTTAACATTTTGTAATTTACACTTCTCAGTTTGTTCCTTTTTACTATAGAACTTTAGAGTTACCACTAATAACCATACAACAGAGTCTATATTAGGCTGTTTTGAGATTTTCTCTGTCAACGAAATTATCCAAAACTCTTCACTTCAGCCTCAGGCAAACTCTTGGGACAAGGGCAAAAGGCAGCCACATTCCCTCCCCTCCTCCTTCCTATTCCTCCTACCTTCCCCCAACACCCCTCCCATTCACTCCTCAGAGAAGGTAAGACACATCGCTTTGGGGACGATCCAAGGTCCTTCCTACTGTATCTAGGGTGAGCAAGATATCCATCCAAAGAGAATGGGTTCTAAAAAGCCAGTACAAGCAGTAGGGATAAATCCTGGTGTCACTTCCAGTGGCCCTGCAGTCTGCCCCAGCCATACAATTGTCATCCACATTCAGAGGGTCTAGTTTGGTCCTATGCTGCTTCCTTCCCTGTCTGGCTCCCATTAGCTCAGGCAAACTGTTCCAGTGGGTATCCCCATCACCGTCTTGACCTCTTTGCTCATATTCTCACTTCTCCCACTCTTCAACTGGACTTTGGGAGGTCAGTTCAGTGCTCCGATGCAGGTCTCTGTTTCAATCTGAATGAAAGTTCTATGGTGATATTTAAGATATTCATCAGTCTGACTACAGGGCAAAGCCAGTTCGGGCCCCCTCTCCTCTATTGCTTAGGGTCTTAGCTGGGGTCATCCTTCTAGATTCCTGGTAATTTCTCTAGTGCCAGGTTTCTTGCTAGCCCCATAATGGCTCCCTCAACCAAAATATCTCTTTACTTGCTCTCATCTCTGTCCTTCCTCCATCTCAACTATCCTGTTCCCACAAGTTTCTCTCCCCCTTCCCCTTTTCTCCTCCTCTTCCTCTTCTGCCCTCCCTACTCCCTCCACCTACATGCTACCAATTTTGTCAGACGATGTCTATTTCGCCTTTCCAGGTGGATCTGATTATCTTTCTTAGGGTTCACCTTGTTACTTAGCTTCTCTAGAATCATGAACTATAGGCCAACACAATTACCTTTTTTTCTTTTGGAAGCAGGTCCTAGAATGTATATCAGGATAGCCTCAAACATATAATCTCATGCCTCAGCTTCCTGATTGCTACCATACCTGGCTTAGGATATCATTTTTAAGTGAAAGTACAACAAAGTGTGGTCCTCAGATTTGAGTTCTGGTACACATAGACTCAAAAGTGAATGACAGGACAGGAATGTAAAGGAAAACAAACAAAAGTATTTTCTGCCAAAGAGAAAATTAAGACTTTTCAGTAAATATTAGAATGTTAGGAAAGTTACATGTGACACTGTGAGCGTGACAGTTTCCTAATTCCTACCTCTTCTGATGACTCAGAACTGTACGTAACTCCTGTTCCAGAAGATCAGTCCCCCTCTTCTGGCCTCTGCAGGTTGCACACGATGCACGAATATGCATGTGGGCAAAATAGCCATACACTTAAAATAACACAATTAAAATAATACAAAAAGTAAACAAGATATGGGAAAGCATACACAGCATGAAGAGTCTAAATTGCTTATTCCCTGGCTCTGGGGTGATTGATGTGCTCCTAGCTTTATGTCCATTAGACACAAACTAGAGTCATTTGGGAAGAGGGAATCTCAATTGAAAAAATGTTCCCACCAGACTGGCCTGTGGGCTTGTTTGAGGGACATTTTCTTGATTGATGACTAATGTGGAAGGGCCCAGCTCACTGAAGGTGGTGCCACTGCTGGGCTGGTGGTCCTGGGTTGCTTTTAAAAGGCAGACATGAGGAGAAAGAGGCCACACTCTTCAGTGGCCTCTGCATCAACTCCTGCTTGGAATTCCTGCCCTGACTTTCCTAGACCATAGACTGCAAGTAGTAAGATGATAATAGACTCTTTTCTCCCCGGGTTGCTTTTGTTCATGGTATTTAGCACAGCAACAGAAGCCTTAACACAGGCAGGTGATCTGACTTTGCTATTGAGACAATATCTGAGAATTCTTGAGGTTCCATATTTCATGAAGCTTTCCTGCCTGGTCTGATAGTGATACAAGTCACTCGTCTTCCTGTGTGGACCCCAGAAACTGTTCTGCCTTGTTCTTTCAAACAGCCAGGAGTAACCAGCTTCTTTCACAGATCTTTGGAGCTGTCTTCTCTCCACAGTTGCCTTCTCACTGGTACTGTACCACAAATTCTGGCTACCTTGGCTTCCAAGAACTATGATATCTGTCTTAGCTCAGTGGTAGCAACAGGTTCCACATCATAGTATCTGAAAACTGCTATCAGACTGTGGTGCTTTCTGTCTTGTTTCCCTCTCAGTCCTGTGCTACCTGTTTGCCAACATCTAAGACAAACCTTAACATATATTTCATCAGATCAATTTTTTTTTGGAGGGAGGAAAGTCAGTCAAATCCGTTATGCCATCTGTCTAAAAGTAGAACTAGAACTGTATACTTATTTTTACATTTTGGCGAGAGACAAAATTTTATATTTTTTGCTACATTTCTGACCTCTCAAGTAGACTAGATTTGAGGAAACCCATGTTCATTACTGTAAGCTGGTGGCTGGAGAGTACACAGACTGTGGTAAGGAAGCTATTATTGCTGTTTTGCCAAATGAACATGCTATGACCATTAAAATGCTTTCTAACTATTTATGTTCGTGTTTATCAGTTTGGAGAGAGAAGCTACTCTCAGCAGTGGATGGCAGAATCAAAATTGGTTCAAAGTATTGAGAGTGACTGTTTAACAAGCAGCTGTAAAGGGACATCTGTACCACTGGAAAGCTGTCTTCTCAACCTTACATAGGGCTGCACTCTTGAACTTACAGCAGCTACAATTATGGGCATAACAGTGTCCCTGTCAATATTCTGACAAGGGACACATGACTCCCCTCCCACTGAAGATCTATTTGCAATTATGCTTTTCATCAGTTATATAAACAAAGGATAAGATAAAAGTACCAGCACTCCTGTAAATAACCCCTTACCCCCACTGCTGTGAACAATCCTAATTAAACTCATTGAGTCACACGCAACAGCTAAGAAGAAAATGAGTGGGTTAATCTGATCAAATATATTACACATGTACTCCACCAGGCACATACAGTAGCCAACTATAGCTACTGGAGGGAGGGGTAGTTTTTTGTCAGCTTGACACAAGCTAGGGTCCTTTGGAAAGAGGAAACCTTGGTTGAGACAATGCCCCATTAGTTTGTAGGAAGGCCTGTGGAGCATTTTCTTGATTAATGATATGGGAGGACCCAGTCTACTGCAGGCAGTGCCACCCATGGGCAGGTTCTGGGTTATGTAATAAAACAGGCTGAGCAAGGTCAGCAGTATTCCTTCATAGAGTCTGCATCAGTTCCTGCCTCCGGGTTCCTGCACTGACTTCCCTCCATGATAGTACACTTTCCTTCTTGAGTTGCTTTTGGTCATGGTGTTTATCATAGCATAGAAAACAAACTGGGACTATGTGGGTGTTTCAGTCTCCTTCCCTGCTGCTGAATCTGCCCTTCAAAGTAAGATTGGAAAGAAGAAAGAAAACTTTGCCTGAGCACAATGGAACTAACCAACATTCATTATGTGCTGTTTGCTGGCCCTCAACTAGCGTAGAGGCACACACTTCATACACAGCACTTGGAAGGCGGAGGACAGTTTGGGCTACTGAGCAAGACCTTAACTCAATAAAGAAAGGCAGAGAAAGAGAGAAGGAGACTGAGAAGAAGAGGGAGGAGAGAGAGGGGAAGTGTGGAGACAATGAGAAAGAGAGACTGTCAGAACCAAGAGGAATAAGGAATTTCAGTCCTCATTCAGTTTGAGACTGGAGATGTAACCCTTCCAGGAATACTAGTCTACTGCATGCAAGGCCTTGAATTTCAATCCTCAGTGCTGCAAAAATAAAACAAAATTAAAATTAAAAAATAGAGGAGTCAGATCTCTGTAGATTCAAAGCCAACCAGCCAAATCTACATAGAAAGCTCCAGAATAGACAGGGCTACACAGAACAATCCTGTCTCAAAATAAATAAATACCAATCAACTAAGTAACTAAGACATAACAACTACCCAGTTAACAAAAACAGTAAGGTGTGGCCTGGCAAGGATACACAAGTAGACCACTTACAGAAAAGGAAATGATAAAGTGTGAGAGAAACTAACAAGAGAAGGAAACCTATTTCTGACACAAACCTCCAAGCCACAGAAATGCTGTACCTCCTTACAGTAGAACTGATACTGCAGGCCTGAGACTCGATACAGTCCTGAGTGCTTCTATGTCTGCCCCATCTTCTCACAGAATGGTTTCTGAGAAATAACTCATGTTTGCCAAGTGCTTGGTGACAATAAACTCAAAACAGAATGTTAGTCACAGATGTTAAGACAGGTGCCACATACAAAAGGCTGAGTAGACACCCACTAAATCCCAGTCTCTGAAGCAACACTAAAAAGAATATACCGAACATTAATATCAAACATTTTTTTAATTACCTAAGATGTTAAACAGTAACTTAAACTCTTTACAATAAGAACATGTTGCACAACTTACGATATTTACTGTGAATTTCATCTATCTCCTTCTCTGTCTGGTCCTTTGTAAAAACCATGACCTAAAATAATTTAAAAAAATCTTTAGAATTACATCAAAATGACAAAAATGGAAATCAATGAACAAGTTTCAAAACTTCAAATGTGGTTGCTTAAAACAGAGGAAGCCAATCCGCTTCTGAGTAGCCTGCACGTTTCCTCCAACTATCATGAACAACACAGTCTTACTCATCACTTCTTCCTCATCAGCAGGTTTTTATTTTTGTTAACAAAAAAAGGAACTTTTTCCTCAAACCAAGTAACAATCAAGAAGGAAATCTCACCATGATTAAATACATTTTTTAAACAATATTATAGTGAAATCTGAGAGGTTGTATATGCCCTGGTGTGTGTGCATGTGTGTATGTGCAGGTGTGGATGGATGAGCATGCTCGTGCACATATGAAGATCCTCTGCCTTATTTTCTTGAGACAGGGACAGGGCTTCTCACTGAACCTGGAGCGAAGCTGGTGAGCAGTCGTGGCAGTCTCCTGTCCCCACTCCCCACAGCAATGGAGTTAGAGAACATGCAGCCATATTTGACTTTTTACATGAGTGCTGGAGATTTGAACTCAAGTTCTCAGGCTTATACAGCATGTGATTTTGCCTGCCAAGCCATCTACAGCCTCAGATGTTTATTTATTTGACAAATGTTCATGTTATAAATGAGTAGTTTGGCAGTAGCTGTGGATTTCAGGCCAAGGTGGGATTCATTTGTAGAGAAATTTTAAGTTTTTGTTCTTCCCATAAATAAAAATATCCCAATAAAATGTGTAAAGTATCTATATCCAACTCCATATAGTTGAGAAAAAAATACTCCAAATCAAAACACATAAGCCTGTATCTAGAAGACAAATGGAGGAAAATCATGTCAGGTAATAAATCTCTGATAGTAAAGAATAGTACCCTTCCTTCCACCTTTCTGCATATATAAGGTTTCTCAAATGAAATAGTGTGGATAAATATTTGGTAGAGAAAGAGAGCCAGAACAAAGGAAGGGGAGAATATGAGCAAAGTACAATGATATGAATGTATGAAACACCATAAAGAAATCCACTATTTTGTTGTTACTAAAAACACTAGTTAAAAATTAAGATATATTAAGAAAACAAAGTCAAATTTTAAGCAAATCTGATTTTTTAGTTGTACATGTCATTTCCTCTTTCTGCTTTGAAAACTTGCATGAATCTCCTTTCTAATTCTTGAAGTCTAGTTCATCAATTAAAGTGTGGTTCTGTATTAAGAATATTACATTAGATACATAAAACCCAGGATAGCTAAAACAATTCTGAGTTATAAAAGAACTGCTGGAGGTATCACCACCTCAGGTTTCAAATTGTATTATTATAGAGCTACAATCATTTAAAAAACATGGTATTGACATAAAAAGGCATACTGATTAACAGAATAGAACTGAAGACCCAGACATAATTCCACACACCTACAGACACCTACTTTTTGACAAAGAAACTGAAAATACACATTGAAGGAAAGACAGTATCTCCAACAAACAGTACTGGTCAAACTGTACAGCTGCATGTAGAAGAATAAAAATAGATCCATAGGGGGGCTAGAAAGATGGCTCAGAGGTTAAGAGCATTCCCTGCTCTTCCAAAGGTCCTGAGTTCAATTCCCAGCAACCACATGGTGGCTCACAACCATCTGTAATGGGGTCTGGTGCCCTCTTCTGGCCTGCAGACATACACACAGACAGAATATTGTATACATAATGAATAAATAAATATTTAAAAAAATAGATCCATAGCCATCACTCTGTACAAAATTCAACTCAAAATGGATCAAGGACCTCAATGTGAGACTAGATACACTGTATCTTAAAGAAGACAAAGTAGTGAATAGGCTTGAATTCGCTGGCACAAGAAGAGAATTTCTAAACAGGACATCAACAACAGGCAGTAATAAATGGAACCTCAGAAAGCTAAAAGCTTCTGTATAGCAAAAGACACCATCATTCGAGCGAAGTGTCAGCATACAGAATAGGAAATCTGATAAAGAGTTAGTTATCTAGAATATATACATAAAGAACTAAAAAAAATTCTGCAAATAAAACAAATGGGTTAACCCAATTTAAAAATGGGGTGCAGAATTAATTTTCAAAAGATGAAACACAAATGGCTGACAAACACTTTTAAAATGTTCATCCTTAGCCATCAAGGAAATTAAAACTATTTTGACACTGTCTCACCCCAGTCAGAATGGCCCAAAACAGTAAAAACAAATAATAATACTTGCTAGTGAAGATGCGGGGAAAGGGAACACTTATTCACTGCTGGTAGGAGTGCAAACTGGTACAGACACTACGGAAATCAGTGTGGAAGACCTCAAAAAGCTGAAAATCAATTTACCAGATTCAGCTGTACCCATCTTGGGTATATATCCAAAAAACTCAACTTTCTACTACAGAGGTACTTGCTCATCCATGTTAATTGGGACTCTAGTCATAATAGCCATAAATTGCAGATAGCATAGATCTCCATCAATTGAGAAATGGGATTATTCATCTACTAAGATAACTAAAATAATGAAATTTGCAGGTAAATAGATGGAGCTAGAATCAATCATCCTGAGCGAGGTAACCTAGATCTAAAAAGAAAAATATTTCATGTTTCCTTTTGTATATGGATGTCAGTTTTAGACATGTGTATGTCAACTTGAATAATCTCAGAGGTTAGCTAATAAGGGATCAGGTAGGGGTATAATGTTCCAAGGGAAAGGAAATAGAATACAGTATTATAAAGGGATAAAGGAGAAATTAGGAAATAGGAAGGGGAATGGAAGGGCAGAATAAAGGAGGGATTATATAGAGGGACACCTCAAGTATGATTAATAAAAGCTCAGAAACTGATATAGGTTTCAACCTGAAGATCCAAAAAGCAAAGCAGCCAGCCGTTGGCTCTTACCTCAACCTCAAGTCTGAAAATGGCAATCCTGCCTCCAGGAATCTCAGAATGAGACTGTGTCTGTGAGCTGTCTCTTCCCGTCTTATTATCCTCTCTAGTTCTGGGATTAAAGGCATGTACCACTACCACCTGGTTTCTATGGCAAACTAGTGTGTCTACTGGGATTAAAGGTGTGTGTTGATGCTGCCTAGTCTATAAGGCTTACCAGTGGTGCTGTTTTACTCTCAGATCTTCAGGCAAGCTTTAGTTATTAAAATACAATTGAAATGCGACTACAGATACCTAACACTAAAGGCTCTCTGAAAAGCCATATGGAAATCTACTACTATAGAAGCTTCCTAAAATATATACATATATGAAAGAAATTTAAATGGAGTCAATGCACCAATTAGGCATTTTATGTCACCAAGTAAAACCTCCAGTGACAAAAATAGGTTATATCTTGTTGAATCATGGCCAAAAAATATCCCATAGATACCTCCAAATACAAGCTATTATCAAGGTTATTGGTTATTCTCTATAGCCTGATAGTAAGGCCCTATTATTGACGTCATCAAACATGGGGAAACTGAGCTGGTACCCAACTAGAAGCTTTACCTGATGGGGGAGAGTCTTCTGTTTTGTGTTGATTTCATTGGTTAATAAAGAGACTGCCTTGGCCCTTTAATAGGACAGAAAATTAGGTAGGTGGAGTAGACAGAACAGAATGATGGGAGAAAGAAGCCGAGTCAGGCAGTTCACCATGATTCTCCTCTCCGAGAGAGAAGCACGTTAAGCTCTTTCCTGGTAAGCCACCTCGTGGTGTTACACAGATTATTAGAAATTGGTTAATTGAGATGTGAGAGTTAGCCAATAAGAGGCTGGAACTAATGGGCCAGGCAGTGTTTAAAAGAATACAGTTTCTGTGTAATTATTTCAGGTAAAGCTAGCCGTGTGGAGCTGGGCGGGAACGCAGCCCACCGCCCCACACAACATTTACCCCTACTGACTAGTGTTCATGATACTGGAAAATATTCTTGCATACTACCAGAGGAGAAAAGTAATTATTAGTATCACTCAGCTACAACAGACACCTGCCTGCAAGATATTCTGGCACAATGTTACAGGAATAACCAACTATTCTTATTTTATTGGATTTAAGGCCCATTCCATGAGCTGGAATCCATACCTGTGTCAGGTCAAAAACTAGCCATGGACATAAAGGAAAACCTACTATTATTCTGTTAACGGAACAAAGCAGTAAAATGATTCCTACTGACATACTGCTATACCCATATATCAGAGCATTATTCAATTTTCATCAGAAAAGCTTCTTGTAGTAGACGGTAATTAACAAAAAGATTCACAACTGGACAGTGTTCAGAGAATGAGAGACTGTGGAACATTCAGCCCTAAATGGGACATTTTTATCAAACTCCTCCCCTCAAAGTTCAAGGATCTATATGGGAGAAGTGGAAAGATTTTCAGAGCCAGAGGCGATAAATGACTCCAAAAAAACAATGTCTTCCAGACACAACAGGACGGATGCACATATGAATTCAGAGACTGGGACAGCAGGTACAAGACCTGCACAAGTTCAAACCAGACAAAATTCCCAGCACTGAGAAGGGGAAGTGAACACAAAGGCCCACACCTAACCAAGAAGCTATTTGTAATTGAAATCTGCTGGCAAAGGGAATATCAGGTTTCTTTAATGGAGTGTTGCTGGGTATATCAACCACACTCCAGGGCAGGTCTCATGCCCAGTAGTTGGCCAACACAAAATGGACTCTATGTTTTTTGGGGTTTTTTTTTTTTTTGTTGTTGTTGTTTTTTGGTGCACTTTATTTTGCGAATTTTTGCTTTATTCTATTTCTTTTAGTTTTTTCTGATTTTTGTTGTGCTTCTTGGATTTTTTGTTGTTATTAGAGGAAGGAAAAGAATATGAAGTTGAGTGGGTTAAAAAGTAAGGAGGAGCTGGGGTAAGAAAAAGTATGTGATCAATATATTCAATGAGAAAACATTTTTAAAATAAAAATTTTTAAAAAGAGTATTACATTAGTTGAGAGTGCTGTTGCGCATACCTTTGATCCTAGTACTTGGGAATCAGAGGCAGATAGATAGGTCTCTGTGAGTTTGAGGTCAGCCTGTTCTATACAGTGAGTTTCAGGCCAGCTACAAAGTGAGACCTTATCTCAAAATATGTATATGTATATGTATATGTATATATATATAGTAGAAATAAGAAAGAGGAAGAAGAGGAGAAAAAGGAGAAAAATTATTACATTAAAGGTGCTGAAGCGATAGCTTAAAAGTCAGAAGCATTTGACACTCTTTTAGAAAACCTAAGCTGCTATGGGACAATGGTCTTTTATCCTGTCACCTGTATTATTTTTAATAAAACGCTGATTGGCCAGTAGCCAGGCAAGAAGTATAGGCAGGGTGACCAGGCAGGAAGTAGAGGCAGAGCAACAAGAACAGGGAAATTCTGGGAAGAGTAAAGACTCAGTCTGCAGTCCTCACCCAGACACAAAAGAAGCCAGACACAGAGTAAGCAAGATGTAAATGCCTCGCCAAAAAAAGGTACCAAGCCACGTGACTAACACAGACAAGTATTATGGGCTAATATAAGTTATGAGTCAATAAGAAGCCTGAGCTACTAGGCCAAACAGTTTATAATTAATATAAACCTTTGTGTATTTATTTGGAACTGAATTATGGTAAAACTGGGTAGGACAGAAACCTCTGTCAACACTAAGCTTAGTTCTCAGCACCCTTAACAGTCAACTCACAAGTGCCTCTAACTCCAATTCCTGGAGATCCAACACCCTAGTCTGTCCTCCACAGGAAGACAGGCATACACACACATACACACACACACACACACACACACACACACACACACACACACACACGGTATATATACACATAAATAAAAATACAATCTTAAAAAAGAATATTATATTAAAATTTC